AAGCAACAGCAACAACAGCAACAGCAACAGCAACAGCAACAACAACAACAAGAAGAACAACAAGAACAACAAGAACTACTACTACTACTACTACTACTTCTACTACTACTTCTTCTATTTCTACTTCTACTTCTACTTCTACTTCTGCTTCTGCTTCTGCTTCTACTTCTACTTCTTCTACTACTTCTACTACTACTACTACTACTACTACTACTACTACTACGACTACGACAACTACTACTACTACTACTACTACTACTACTACTACTACTACTACTACTACTACTACTACTACTACTACGACGACCACTGCTACTATGAGTACTCTAGTAGTAGTAGTAGTAGTAGTAGTAGTAGTAGTAGTAGTAGTAGTAGTAGTAGTAGTAGCAGCAGTAGTCGAAGTAGTAGAAGTAGTAGTAGTCGTAGTAGTAGTAGTAGTAGTAGTAGTAGTAGTAGTAGTAGTAGTAGTAGTAGTAGTAGTAGTAGTAGTAGAAGTAGTAGTAGTAGTAGTAGTAGTAGTAGTAGTAGTAGTAGTAGTAGTAGTAGCAGCAGCAGCAGCAGCAGTAGTTGTCGTAGTAGCAGGCGTGGATGCTCTTACTTGGATGGTCCAATAGTGGACGTTCATACATGTCCTGACTGTTTCTGAGTAACTGAAATACAAACAGGTAACTGTGATAGTGGCAAGAGAAGAAGCAACAGTGGTTGTGGCCGTAGTAGTAGCAGTAGCATTAACAGTATCAGCCCTAAACTCCTAAACCCCAAACCCAAGATGTAGTATCTGTAGTAGCAACGGCAAGGCAGGGTCCTGAAATAGTTTTCGACTCAAAAATCCGGCGAGGTACTTTGTCGGGGATGTTGAGTCTTTCTTGTCTGATCTCTGGGCGTGCGAGAACGAGGACCACCTCCAAAGACCTCAAAGTTGCAAATTGGGGCTCAGAGCCGACGCCTACGCCAGAAACCCTTAACCCGAAACCCTGGGCCCTGAGCCCTGCACCCAGCCCTGAACCCTGTACCCTAACAAAGTAGGCGCTCAAGTCTGGGGCCCCAGCAGCTGGCTTCGTTGGTAGTGTTTCAGGGTGTTTAGGGTTTAGCGTTTGTTTGCGTCTAAGGCTTTGAGGGTTTAGGGATTGGGTTTTAAGGTGTTCTTTAGATGTTTTAGGGAATGTAAACCCTTTAAGCACAAAGGCAACACCTGCGCCTCCACACTCTGAAGCCCCTGTAAACCCATAAGCCCTCTGAACTTTGGAAGCTCCTTATCACCGAATACCAAACCCTGGACCGCCAGGATATCACTGGCTTGTACTCAGGGGACATTTCGATGCATGAGCCTTGGACGATTCGGTTTTTGCAAAGAGCTCTGCGCCCTAAATGTGCAGACAAGCTTGAAGCTATAAATGCCCTTAAGCCCGCAAACCCTCAAGACCTTAAACCGAATACCATGAGCCCGAAGCCCCACAGGTCTTAAACCCCAAGCCAGTTTACATCTGCGAGGATTACGTTTGTACGCTTAATGTTTGGAGAAGATTGTGATGCAAGCTTTGCCCCGGACCAACCAATTACAGGCTCTAGGGTTGCTACGAATCTAGGGTTGCCACTTCGACTGCTACTGCCACTTCTGTTTTTGCCACCGCGACAGTTACTACAGCTACTGCCACTGCCACTGCTACTGCTACTGCTAGTGCTGCTATTACTACGACGACGACGACGACTACTACTACCACCACTACTACTACGACGACGACAACGATTACGACTAGGACGACAACAACAACAACTACTACTACTGCTCCTCCTCCTGCTATTTCTACTACTACTGCTACTACTACGCTACTACTACTACTACTACTACTACTACTACTACTCCTACTACTACTACTACTACTCCTACTACTACTACTACTACGACTACTACTACTACTACTACTACTACTACTACTACTACTACTACTACTACTACTACTACTACTACTACTACTACTACTACTGCTACTGCTACTGCTACTGCTGCTGCTGCTACTGCTACTGCTACTGCTACTGCTACTCCTACTACTCTACTACTACTACTACTACTACTACTACTACTACTACTACTACTACTACTACTACTACTACTACTACTACTACTACTACTACTACTACTACTACTACTACTACTAGTACAGTTCCTACTACTAGTACAGTTCCTGGTACTACTGCCTTCTATTGCTAATTAGAACGTCTGCTGCTGTGATGCTGCTATTCGTTCATGCCGTCGACAGCGGTCACTGCTACTCCGGCCACGGTTCCTTTTCTCCTACTTCGGCCGGAAGCCTCAGCTTGACTTTTGAAACCTTATAGCGCCTAAGCTTGCCCCCAAACCCTAACCTAAACCCTAATTCCTAAACCCAGATTCCTAAACCCTGATTCCAAAACCCTAAACCGAGGAATATGTCCGTCATTTCTTGGAGGAGTACGGCTTGGTGGACACCAAACGTGAGTGGGTCGCAGGCGCGGGGGCCAAAGGGCACATTTTCTATGTGTATTGAGAGGGGCTATGTATGCCGTGCAATGCAACGTATGCAGGCGGAACCTGAGGCTGGGGGGGTTGGGGCGGGGGGGGTGGGAGGTTCGGATTTAGGGGATTCAGTACGATTTTCTGACCATTCCTGGCCGACTCCGCAAGCCCGGATGCAAAGGAAGCATATTCCGCTTTTCACAGACACATTTGTTGTTTCATGGTGCTGTGTTGGTTATTTGTGAAGTTTCAAGAGCATGGTTACATGACAATACGATTACTATTATACTATGCTTTACTATAGTATAGTATACTACACGATAGTTTTGTCTACTATAGTATATAGTCTACTCTTGCAGAAAACACACGCATGCAGCACGCTGTTACCTTGTATAGAAGATCTCGACCGCCCACACTTTGGGCAACAGAGTTGGAGGCCACAGCTGGCCTCCATGGGAACCCCAGCAAATCCAAGATGCATTTTTCCGGGAGTTTTTGGGAAAGCACTTGTTTTGCTCCTTTTCAACGCCACAAGTGGCCCCCCAAACCCTATTCAACTGCAACAAGCCCTAAACCCCTCAACCCCTAAACCCCAAACCCCTAATCCCCTCATCTCTTGGGTTCACATTCATGCAGCTCTCAAGCCTGAAACCTCAACTCCCCCCATGCCCTGAGTTGAGATGGCCTTCGAGGTTTTGGGTTTAGGGGGTTTAGGGGTTTAGGAGTTTAGGGTATAGGAATTTAGGGATTTAGGGATTAGGGTTTAGGGTTTGGGGTGTAGGAATTGTTCGAAGAGGCCTGGATGCAAAACGAGGTTAGGAATTTTGGGATTGGGGAGTAGGGATTAGGATCTAGGGGTTAGGGTGTAGGGGTTTAGGGTAACGGGTTTAAGCGTTGCCTAGCAAGGCTTCGACAAAGCGGCCTTTCGGCAGCATCTGCGGGCAGTTTGCGGCTTGGGGCTTCGGGATCTCGTTATTGGTGCTGCCCATACAGGAGTGCAGGAACAAAAGCGCATCTACGGATACAGGAAGGCACTGAACCTTAAGCCCTAACCTACCCAATGGCAGCGGCTGGGAAAGGTGGCCGAACTCGTCACAATAGTATTTGTAGCACTGCAGCCGCAGAATCAAAGACGAGAGAAGACTGGCAATTAAGGACCTGCTGAGTAGATATTAACGTAGAGTTCCGTTTTCCTGCATTGTCAGTGTAATCTCTGGCATTTTGTGATAGCCACATGGCGCTCCACAATACCTCTGAGCTGGAAGGCATCCTACACCTCTAACTGGAGGTCTAAGTGCCTGATCTTGATACACAGGTGTTGTACCGCAGGCTTGTTCCATGCAAGGCTCGAAAGGCCAATCCTCACGTACAGTTCCATTTTGCCGTTAGCCTCTACAGTGACCGCGGCCCGTAAAATCGAAATCCAACAGTACCACTCGCGATGAAGTTTTAGGATACAGCATGATACAGCCCCAGATGGCACATGAGGGGTGCTTGGCCAGACAAGCACCTGAACCTTAACTTCGGAATCCCGATTAAACCGCAAGTTCGACAAGGTCAAGATTAGGGAGGGGCGCCCGCGGAAGTGGGGTGGAGACGCTTGTGCGCCAGCGAGCTCCGCTCCCTGGGAAACACTTTACTGTTAACCTCAAGCCCTAAATCCTGACCCTCGGGGTCGGGTTCAATTTTCCGAGCTCAGAGTTGAGGGTGTGGTTTTTTGAGGTTCGAGGTTCCGTGTTTTGGTTTAGTTTTTTGCCCCGAGAGGCCCCAAAAGCTCCCACAGCCTGGAGCAAGAGGCCAGGATGCGAAAAGCTTTCGAGAAGAAGGTCGTTACGAACTTGAAGGCTCCACGGGGCTGTCGCGCCTTTATTGCACTTACCAATGGGGCTGAAGGGTTTAAGTTTAGTTCGCCTTTCGGATCGTGGTTTCCGGATTATGTTGTTGGGTGTGAGGGTGTGAGGTTGTTATTCGTGGTGGGCCTATGTGGGCCTCACTACTACTGTGCGGCTGCTTCCGACCCTTAATCACGATCTCTATTCCTATCGTTTTATTGCTACAGGGTTACTGATGCAATTCGCATTGCCTGTGTTTTTTGGGGGGCGGACATTGCTCATCCTATGCATGACTCCGAGTCCTCCAAGGCGTCCACGTGGTCTACTCCATGGACATTCCGACCTTGAGCCAAATGACATTCCAAAACAACCTCTGGGAGAAGGTGGGTTAGTATGCTATATATATATATATGTGTAGTACACTGTTTTCGATCTCATCTTTTCGTTTCTCTTCTGCAAGCGTTCATCAAGAATGTGTTCAAGTCTAAGTTCAGGCACGTGGCCAGGATTCCTGTTGCCAGTGGCAGTGACCAGTTATGTTTGGCAGGGAGCCGCGTGTGGTCAAGTAACAGTAGTTTCTCCACCCTGCCGGGCGATACATGTTGCCACACTTAAATCCGGATAGACGGCAATACACACATAATCGCTTCGTGTTTGGCCGGTGGCCGATGACAATTGGCCAGTGGCCGGAGACCATCAACAAACAAACTGACGGAAGCCCGGGGCGGTATCCTGTGGCAGTGGCCGGCCGTTGTGATCTTGCACTTCTCATATGAAACCCCACACAGCAAACGCACACTTTTTGGGGACGGGGTGGAAGGTAAGCTGAGAAAGAAAAAGACTCGTGACAGCGCACATCACCTGACCAAGACAAAAAGCAAACGCACACTGCCACATGAAGCACCTTCCTAAACTTAAGAGCAAGAGCAGAAACAAGGGCAGACAAAAAATGGCATCAGACCCCCCCCCCCCCTTCCCCATACACATCCATGCATCGCCTTTGTTTTCCTGGCTTCCCAAATGTCATCTAAGCTACACGGCTTTGGAACCTACTGTTGAGCACGCACAGCACAGACACGGCCTGGCATTAGACGCATCTCCAATCAGTGGTTCCCACAACGCAGAACACGACATCCGATAAGAAGGAGTCTCTGTGGATGGGGCTCGCGTGTTGCTCGCTTCTGCCTACCCTTGCTAGCACATCCTGGTGGAGCTGCAGCCCTCGTTTTCCAAACACTGCTGTGCGCCATTCTTTCAACCATTTGGAGATCAACGAATCTGGGTAGCCTCCCTCATGCGTGAACATGTAGCAAGCATCTGCAAAAAATGGACACCATGGTCCAATGCAAAGAGGAGCTAAGTTGTTTGCATCTCGAAAAGCCCCTAAAACACTTGCATGTTTTTGCAGCACTGGCTGCGCAGACACGAATGGAGCACACAAGCCGGGCTTGTTGTCATATCCACACGTCAATCCCTTGGTGTGAGCAGTCCAATGAAGCTAACGCCCAAGCACGAGCTCTAAACCCACGCATGGATTCACACTGTCCGGCTTCATGGGAAAGTGGGGAGGGTAGACGTGTGTCAAGAACTCAATGGCTGCATCCCGCAAGCGTCGTAGGAAATAGGCCAAGGGGGCCACTATGAACACACGGACATCGTCCATGAAATGCAGACATGACACGTGAGCTCCTGGCACTCTGCTGTTAACAATTTGTGTGACAGGCAGGTCACCTACAACAGCGTGCATTTCATGCACAACAAGCACCAGGCGAAACAGCGCACCCCCCAGACTAGAACCCAGAGTAATCCCTTTGGTTTGGCATCCCGGTTCTTTCCCAAACCTGAGTAGCATGTTGCTACAGGCAAATGAGAGCACATGTCGGACTTCAGGCAAAGAGATCTTAACCCAAGTGCCACTTTTGCGGCGCGTCCATGAAGCATGGGGCAGCTGTTGGAAGGAACTTGCCTGTCTGGTCTTACATGCCCCCGTTGCCAATCATGATTCTTGCTACCTGATCCCATGCGTCCATGATCTCAGCATGGAGAACATTCATGAACCCGTTTTCGATATCCCTCGACAAAACAAAAACCCCATAGTTATGTAGCTCGGTCAGTGGCTGTCCCGTACCCAACGGATCACTGCGGAGTTGCTGGAGAAAGTATGTAGTAGCTTCATGGGACGTGCGGTCAAAGTGGCATGACAAAGGGAGCGTTGCAATGCACAGTTCAACGCAGCGTGCGATAAGCCTGAACAAGAGCGCCGTTGGACAAACGCTCTGGTCACCAAGGGGTCTGACACGCAACAAGTCCTTGTTTTTCTGCAGGACTCGTACTGGGGTCCAGCTTAGAGGCCTTGCACCCTTCATGTTTTTGACAACAGCCTTGTGCGCAGCATTTAACATGTCTGGCTGCAGTCTTTCACTGAGGCCTGGGATTTGTATTCCTGACACCTCAAGCCATGAAAGCTTGTCATACTGGAAAGTTGGACCACCGATCGCACGTACTTTGCCGAGAAAACAGCTGGGAGAGTAGGCTTGTCCTTGAAAAATGCAGGCGGCATCTGCACATTCATCAACCTGAACAACATCACCCGTTTGGAAAGCAGTTTGCAAGACGCCTGTCAGTGTGTGTGTCTGTGTGTGTGTGTGTGTGTGCGTGTAAACTGGCTCAGTAAGTTGGGGGGGGGGGGGGGGTGCAATCAGTCTTGAAGTCCCAAACCCCTAAATTTAAACTCCTAAACCCTAAACCCTAAACTTAAACCCCTCAACCCTAAATTTAAATCCCCAGACCCCAAACCCGATGGCCCAAAGCGTGAGCATATATGACGAGCTCTGGTAGGCGGATTTTTCAGTTTGGGACAGCGGGGATGACACCATCCTGGCAAGCAGCGTGGACAAGATGTGCGAGGCGGTTTTGGGATTTAGGGTTTAGGGTTTAGGGGTCTAAGGGCATAGGGTGGAGGGCTTTGGGATTTGAGGCTTTGGGTTGGGGTCCTTTCGCCTAGGGTTTCAGCCTCAGGGCTAGGGGTCGGGACATCGGGTTTCGGGTTTGGTGAACTTTGGGCTCTGTTGGGTCAGAGATTGGGGGTTGTTGTGTCGGGCTCACGTTTTGAAGTGTTGGGTTAGGTTGAGGGATTCAGAAGACTGAGCTTGAACCCTACCCCTGCCCCGTACACCCTAAATCATGAATACCCTAATCAGGCGACAACCCTAAACCCTGAACCCGAAACCCTGTTCAACCCTGTTCCGGGTTTGGGGTTTGGAACCCTTGTCTTCTGAAGGACCGCAGGCTTCAAAGGACGTCTCAAGCAGCCAGACCCCAACCCTAGACCCAAATCCCTAAACCCCCTGCCTTGCGCGAGTGTGAGAGCCGAAACCCCCTCTTTCCCAAAGCTAGGGTTGCCGCTTCTAATGTTCGTGATGTCCCGCGGGCTGTGCGGAAAATGCAGTTTCGCACCTCCATCATGCTTCTTAGGGAAGTTGAGGGCTTAGCCTTGGATATCCCAAGTTACTGCAAGATCTACGGGGTAAAATTAGGTAGGAGTAAGGTTTAATGGAAACTGAACTCTTATTGCCCAGACCCGCATTTGCAATAACCGATGAAGCTCTGGAGCCAGATTGCGTTCTGAAGCGCAGTCCGTTTTCTACCTGTATATATATATATACACATGTATATATGTATACACATTATACTCTTTACACATGTACACGTACACATTCTTGTATGTGCACATGCATGCATTCCCATACATCTTACGTAGGACCCTAAGCCGTAAACCCTCGCTTCGCGCACCCCTAAACCCTATAGACCACCTGTGCAGGCCTGGCGAGCAGAAGGGGTGCACGTGCGCAAGTACCACGCAGCTGGTTCCAGATCAGTTGCCAAGACAAGTGGTGTGGGGGTTTAGGCGCAGCAATCTGCCACCAAACCCCAAACCGTATTGTAGCCAGAATAGAGTAAACTAGCCCAGTCTTCAGGCACCCAAGATCCACCACAAGGAGATCATATCGCGCCTCGCCTCTTTTCGGTCCTAAAACCGAAGCCCGAAACCCTAAACTTAATCCTGAGCCCCTAAACCCTAAACCCCTAAACGCACAAATCGAGAAGCGACGAAACGCTAAACCGGCTCAACCGAGGTGCCCTTACATGATGAAGGTCATGGAGCGGCTTGGTGTTTGACATCACTCAACAAGACATCCCTCCAAACCCTAGGCCTTAAAAAGTTGTGTGCGACTGTTGTTTGTGGGTGCCATTTTGGACACCATAGGTTCAAGAGTCAGTCTCTAGAGTCTCCAGGCCTGAAAGGGCAATGTGCTTGAAAGTTTGAGGGCTTCAAGTGCTAAGCCCTGCTTTGGCTTTAGGGTTTAGGGCTTAAGGTTTGGTGTTGAAGCGCAGTAGCCTGTCCATGTCCGTAGTTGCAGTGTAACTTTTCCTTTGCTTTTAGGCCTAAACCAAAGACTTGAGCATGCCAATCATGAATGTGCCCGTCGCGTAAACGTGACCCTCTACCCTAAACCCAAAACCCAAAACCCTTAAAACAGAAAACCAGCAAGAATGCGGAACACAATGTGCCTCGCCTGGCATGTCCGAGTAAGAGCGATTAAACCCCTAAACCCCGAAAGCCAACTAAGTGATGTGATGGAGCACGAGATGGGTGAGTCGGACGACGGGTCCGAGGCGCGACACCTGCGCCGGCAGGGCCCATGGTGAAGGGGAGTTGAGGGTTTAGGGTTGATTGTTTAAGGTTAGGGATTAGGGAAGTTTGGGGATTAGGGGATGAGGGTTTAGGCAAGCTCGTTGCGCAAGGGTTTCGGGTTTAGGGTCGTATAGTGTATTGTGGTTGACGGCTTGCTGTGGTATGCATCACAAGTAGGCCATACTGTCGAACACAAATAGTACAACATGGTGGATTCCTTTCAGCCAGACTCTACAGACTCTACTGTAGCATGCTTATCTCCCTGCGGCTTCAGCCATATATCCAAGGCACAAGGAGCTCCATGCTAGCCAACGCCATAGCAGCACGTTACACACAAGCATACTGGAGCAACATATTCTACGTCATTACATGGTGGACAGTATACTTGGGTAAAGTATGCTGTGGCATCATCTTCGTGTTCGGGGTCGATTATTCCGGCTATTCCAGAACAGTTCAACCCCACGTACGTCGTGTTTGTTTGCATGTTTGGGTTCGAGGGTGTAGGTGCCTTCTCGACAACCCTAAACCCTAAACCCTAAGCCCTAAACCCTGAACCCTAAACCCTAAGCCCTATACCCTAAACCCTAAACCCTAAACCCTAAACCCTAAACCCTAAACCCTAAACCCTAAACCCTAAACCCTAAAACCCTAAAACCCTAAAACCCTAAACCCTAAAACCCTAAAACCCTAAACCCTAAACCCTAAACCCTAAACCCTAAACCCTAAACCCTAAACCCTAAACCCTAAACCGAAACCCTAAACCACTAGCAACCTTTGCAAGTACAGGCCCAAGCAGCCGCTCTGAAGCACCCACCTGTGGCCAGTACGCTTCTTCAGAAGAGGAGGACATCGGCTGCGGCTGTGTCTTGGTCATGCGAGTTAGGGTCGCGGAAATTGGAGTCGGGATTCAGCGGTTTAGGCTTCAGGGTTGTCTTGTACCTTTGTGCAATCGTTTCTGTAGTCGTGTTCTGCTTTCTGTGGTAGGGTTGTGCAGACTGGTTTCCAGGGCCACAGGGTTGCAGGGAAGTCGACTTTCTCCGTCGCAAGTGCAGTAGAAGGTAGCCAACAATCTAAACCTACCCTAAGCCCTGCATGAAAAAAAACTTGCTGAGCTTCACAGGGAAATCCACGTAACCCTGAACCGTAAAGCCCTGTCCAGCTATGCAGGTGCCAAAAACCCCTAAACCCAACCTCTAAACCCTAAACCCTTTCACCCTGAAACTCGCTCAGGGACAGGGGGGCATGTAGGGACTCCGAATGAAGACAAAACACCCCGACACCCACCGCACATGCACCCTAAATAATCCCTAGGCCCTAACCCCTCCTTCCTAAATCTCTTCTACGGCTTCTCTCACCTGCCGGGGCTCTTCCCCAACCACACCATTCACATGTCAGATATCCGTCAAAATGCCATCAGGCATTTTGAGAGGCCCATCCACCTCCCCATCTTGGCTTGTAACCTCATTGTAGCAATCGCATTACTACTGCTTCTGCTAACCCTGCAGTGATGTTGGATGGCACACCCAGCTACAGTATACAACCGTATACTAATCGTAGACAGTTGTTCGCACAGCATAGTACCGCAATCGAGAGAGGTCAGTGCGCTATGCAGCCAGCTATGTCAGCACTAGTATGTTACCGACCTGCCATGCCTGGCTGATTCCTCACTCCACTTCGCCACGCCTGGTGGATTCATCCCTCCACTTCGCTAACACTCATGGCAATGGTAATATTCGAACAGCGCTCATCACATACCTGGTGCTGATCGTGCTTTTGATGTAGTAGTCGTCGTCGTCGGCGTCGGCATCTGCGTCGGCGTCGGCGTAGTCGTAGTCGTAGTCGTAGTCGTAGTCGTAGTCGTAGTCGTAGTCGTAGTCGTCGTCTCCAAAAATATTCGCGCATACGTGCTGGGGACTGTACTGTTCAGCTCACAAAATCCTCAAATATTCTTGAAGCCCCAGACACATCCCTAACCCGAACGTGGATGCTCGAAGCCGCGACGCACCTTCAGCTCAACATCTTCTCTGGGTCTGTATAGGTCTAGGGCTGAGGGTTGTAGTAAGGTCCAGGCGTTTTCAGTTTTTGAATAGGGTTAAGGTTAAACTTCAGGATTGCCGCGGGGTTTTGGGCTTGGGTTTTGGGGTGTGCCCGGCCCTAAATCTAAACCCGAGGCACTTAAGATTTAGGATGTCAGATCTTGAGGCGCAGCAGGCGACTGATGCGCAGAGCCGGCAGAATGTACCAATAGTCTACTATAGTATAGTATACTGTGGCATGCCGTAGTATGATATACGAATGCATTACGATGCTCAGTGCACATGTACGACAAAGAGGCTTGTCAGCCTGAAACATGGTGGTCTCTCCTGGCACTGCTACTACTGCTATTACTGTGGCTGCAACTACGATTATAAAAGCGGCATCCACCACCCGGCCGCCGCCGCCGCCGCCGCCGCAGCAGCAGCAGCAGCAGCAGCAGCAGCAGCAGCAGCAGCAGCAGTCACAAGAATCAGAATTGCGGTAGAAACGACAGTCACTGTGTACTCCTAAGGGTTCTTTGTCCTTTGTCTGTTTGCTGCTACCGGATGTTTACCTGCTAGTGTTGGGGCCATGACTCGACATCAGTGCAAAATGGAGACCTCCATGTCTGTGGGGGTACCTGCTACAGGGATACCCTGTGCTGCTCCGCCCATCTGAGAGTGCCCAGAGCCCAGGGAACATAGCCATGATAGCAAGGGTACCTGTGGGAACGGTAGTTCTGTTGTCGCGTTGTTATCGGGCCTTGCCTCCCAGATGTCCGGAGGCAAAATTTTCCGAGCCCCGGCCTATGATCTAGGCCGATGCTCACCGCGCTAATGCAAGATAACCAGGCAGATCTCGCGCAGACGTGCTGAACGATTTGCAGATTCTTCATTTGCACCAGCCCCCTGACAGTTGCCAGGCAGCGAACCCGCGAGGTGCAAAACGCGGTGGACCTCCAATCATAGCACAATCTAGCAGCTAGCTTTGACAGGACTTTTCAGCAGCTGTCACTGTAGTACTCGTCGGGGTTGTGGTGGCGGTGGTCATGGTAGTGATGGCAACAATGGCTGCAATAGCTTTTGGTGGATACTGGAGACCGCTTTGCAGTACATATGGGGGTTTCTCTGAAAGTTAGGCTCCTATAGGGTTTAGAGTTCAGGATCCAGTTTAGGGGGAAGCATCCATATTCGAGTAGTTAAATCAGGGATTCAGGGATGTGTAGCATGGTGCAGCAATTCATCGTATGCTGTGCCTGGGTAAACTCTAGCAAGAGATCCAAACAAAAGCCTCGTCCCCCCACGAAGGCTTGGTAAGTCAGTAGCGGACCTCCTTCCCCCGACTCCCTGACCTTTGGCTTCCATAAAACGGGCTCTTACTGCGTGCTTTGCGCCCGCATGACGAATTCCAGTGCAGGTTGCAGCGCCCAGCGCTAAACCCTAAACCCTAAGCCCTAAACCCTAAACCCTAAACCCTCACAAGACCCATGGGACAGTGTGTACTTCGCCTGGCTTGTCCGAGTGTGAGCGATTAAACCCTAAACCCTAAACCCCAGGTTGTGGATACTTTAGTTCGGGGCTTGAGGCTCCCATCTTCATGGAGCTCTTCCGCTAAGAAAAGAGCGTGGGAAGACCTCGGGGTCAGATTTTAGGAGCACCGACGCCTTTGAAGGTGGGATTGACACCCTACAGACCCTACAAGCCCTTTACACCCTATGAACCCCGTAGACCCTAAACCCTAAGGCTTAAACTCTAAACCGTGTTCTTGGCTCTGTTTTGCTCTCACAGAGTAGGGCTCAATCAAGCCTTGCTTCCACATGAGCGCGCAGCACAAGGCAGGAAAGAAGGGGGAGGGGGGTATAAAACGAGTTTTACAGGCTTGTGTATAGGGGTTTATAGGGACTTTTATAGGTGTTTAAGTTAGCAGATACCATTCCCATTTTATAGCCATGCACCAACCCCCCCAGGCCACCGGACGACCCAAACCATAACAACCTAGACCTCAACCTTCAACCCACCCAAAGACCCATGGGAGTACACATAGGAAAGACCCAACTGAAGAACCCATACTATGGAACCACGTAGAACCCCCTAGAAAATGGCATACTCAACCCCATAACATGCCCACCGGACAAATAATCATATAGTATCCAACCCGAAACCCCTAACCCGAGAAAATGCAAATGGTCTTCTTCTTACATAAGATACCGACAATAGAAATAAGTTGTTGGAATGGGTTGCAATGGTAATCAACCACAAATCGACAGTAATACTTACATCTCACGAGTGGTGAGGCTTCAGGATTTTTTTTGGCGCCGCTGTGACGTCTCAGTCCAATTAACTGTGGTTGCCTTGCCTTCGCTGATAGCAAGTAGCATCAACTACTTGTCCACATGGTCGTCTTTCCGCATCAAGCACTCCCAATTTCTTCCAGCATGCGCCTCTCAATCGTTATGATACTTACCAGATTCTCCTGGACATCACGACGCCAAGGCGATTTTCTTTTGCCAGTCAGCGCTGGCTACAAGCACGTTCCCGTGCTGTGTCAGTCGCGCTGCGCTCTGCCACAGATGCTTGTCCAAAACATGCGTACATGGGCGCAGACTGCCACATCCCCACCACGTTACGGGAAGTTTCGAGGTTCCTGCAACCATTATAGCAATTGTGTCGCGAGGAAAGGTGGTTCGATAGCCTGCAGTGCATGCACCGGACATGGGCAGCGTCACTTACCGGCAGGTTTGGCAGAAGGTTGGGCAGTCGCAGCTGGCTTCGGACATACTTGTGCAGTGTGGGCAGATGGTCGGCCCATCTGTTTTGGAATGAAGCAAGATGGGCAGTGTGAGGTGCCGTCAGATTTGGGTCCAGTTTTGGCAGTCGCAGCTGGCTTCGGACATACTTGCGCAGTGTCGGTAGATGGTCGGCTCATCTGTTTTGGAGAGAATGCAGGTGGGCAGTGCGATGTGCCATCAGATCTGAGACCAGTTTTGGCAGTTGCAGCTGGCTTCGGACATACTTGTGCAGTGCGGGCAGATGGTGGGCTCATCTGTTTTGGAGAGAATGAAGGTGGGCAGTGTGATGTGCCATCAGATTTGGGTCCAGTTTTGGCAGTCGCAGCTGGCTTCGGACATACTTGTGCAGTGCGGGCAGATGGTGGGCTCGTCTGTTTTGGATGGAATGCAGGACAGTGTGATGTGCCATCAGATCTGGGACCAGTTTTGGCAGTTGCAGCTGGCTTCGGACATACTTGTGCAGTGCGGGCAGATGGTGGGCTCGTCTGTTTTGGATGGAATGAACATGGACAGTGTGATGTGCCATCAGATCTGGGACCAGTTTTGGCAGTTGCAGCTGGCTTCGGACATACTTGTGCAGTGCGGGCAGATGGTGGGCTCGTCTGTTTTGGATGGAATGAACATGGACAGTGTGATGTGCCATCAGATCTGGGACCAGTTTTGGCAGTTGCAGCTGGCTTCGGACATACTTGTGCAGTGCGGGCAGATGGTGGGCTCGTCTGTTTTGGAAGGAATCAAGATGGGCAGTGTGATGTGCCATCAGATTTGGGACCAGTTTTGACAGTCGCAATTGGCCACCGTCATACTTGTGCAGTGCGGGCAGATGGTCGGCTCATCTGTTTTGGATGGAATGGACATGGGCAGTGTGATGTGCCAGAGAAAGCGATACGGAGTGCCAAGGTGACCTTAAATCCTTTTTGCATTAATCCATAGCTTCACCAGCATGGCCAGCCCCTGTGACCCCACAAGTCCAAGACCCGAACCAGATGTCTGAATGGCAATCTTGAAATCGTACGAGTACCAGCGTCGGGGAAGCCTGCAGCCAATTTCGAATCGCAAATGCTGCCTTTCAAAACCTTCAACTCTATAATGATTTTGACCTAGCTTGTTTTCGATATTTTCCGTTGTATATACATTTTGGCTGTAGTTTTCCACTCTCTCTTTTTCATGTGGTCTTCGCTTCCTAAGTATCTTAACCTCATCTCCTCCCTGTAGTTCAGAACAAACACGGTTCTTCTTTTCCTTCATCGTTAAATGAATTTCACTTTGAATTGATCACTGGGTTTTCGGGCTTCTTTTGGCGCCAATCCGGTTGTCGAGTGCTTCATTTGAGTATTATAGGTTGGAAATCTTTCTGATATGTAGTCCGGCCGTTGGGTGTTCTTTTCTCCTTTTTTTCATCTGCTTCAACCCGCTTATAATTATATAGCATGCTTTAGATGTGCGGATGGCTCGTTTACTAAGATTTGGGTGCGCCCTCGTTCGGTGATGTTCCATGTTCTCATCTTTCAAATACTTTTGTATTGCTTCCTTGTTCAGTGAGCCTTCATCATCTGTATAGATTTTATCGGGTTTCCTACCCATCTTATTTGAACACTCAATCATTCCACTTGCTACGTCTCCTTCTTGTTTGCTTTTTATCGGCATTGCATACATACACTTATGAAATACAACAATCACCAACACCGCTACCTTAAACTTTTGTTCTTTCAAATCGTTATGGTTTTGTCATTTTTCCGTGCTTCTGCTAGTTTTCTGGATTTACTCCCGAAACCGGCCTTCTCAACATATACATCACGAATGATTTTTCTGCTTCTCGCTCATGTAATCTGTTAAATCGTCATTTTTCATCAACCTTCGGCATGTCTTCTCTGCAGTTGACCATGTCATACTTTATTGTTCCGCCTCTCTTTCTGCCCGACGGCTTTTTTAGACGTGCATGATCTCGGTAAATTGCCTTTCGCTTAAGTCTTCTTGATAAATATGATGGTAACAGTCGTCTTGATAAATATGATGGTTTTGAACATATTCCTTAACTCGCTTCTCCTGTGCGTGTCTCAGTCCAGCATCGCACTTTCTTGCATGTGTTTTCACCATCTTTGCGTAAACTATAGTAGAGTCGGTCATATATTGCCAGCCGTTCCTTTGTTTCACCCAAAGCCATATCTTTACGATTTTTATAGGCCAGATTACTATACTACGCACTCTTTCTTTCATAAAACATTTTTCTTCATAAACATGCATTTAGAAACAGTTTAAAAATTGTAAAAGAATCTTAAAAGTTCATTAAAAAACACAATTTACTTTGTATAGCAATTGTATAGTTATGTGACCAAGAACATCAACCCGAGCCTTGCAAACATCCTACGACAACTACACAAGCCGTTTAGCACAACCGCTTAGAACTAAAATACA